GCATGAGTTTTCGATGAAAATAATTAGATCTGAGTGCAGCAAAAACTTCCATTCAGCAGAAAATTTTTGACTTTCACTAACGGACATCAACATTGCTACAGAATGATGAGGTAGACAATGAGAATGGAAAATTTGTTGATGTGAGAAGTACAAAATTTTAGATCAGACGCTCAGCTGTACAAAATATCGCAATGAAAATCATTCATTAAGCTTGAAACACAAAAAATTACAAATTTTTAGAACATTCTAGAAAATCGAATAATAAAAAAAATGACCAAATAATGAAAAATTCGCGCTAGTTAATTTAACCATACAAGACAAACAATCAATCACACACATAAACACCCACAAACATACACACACAAATACACATACACACACAGACACACATACACACACAAGCAAACAAACAAGCATACATACAATAAAACATACATACAAGCAAACATGAAATCGAACTTTTTCATACACAAGCATACAATAAAACATACGCAAAGACAAATATAAAATTGGACATTTTAATACACAAGTAGACAATCACACACACACACATATGCACAGGACAAACAAGCACACATACAGACATGTATACATACATACATACATACATCTGCAAGAGAGTGTTTACATGTTGAATGTGTTGAATTAATTGTGACGTTTAACAATTGGCATCAGGTGCTTCCACAAATTGCTTGCGTTACTCATCTGCTTGGTTGGCTCCCCTGTCAATATTTCTCTATGTGGTGTGATGTATGCTGGTTTATGCAGTGTGTGTGTGTGTGTGTGTGTGTGTGTGTGTGTGTGTGTGTGTGGTGTGGTGTGGTGTGGTGTGATGTGGTGTGTTTGTGTTTTTTCTAAATAATGATGAAAACCCGACGATATTTCAACTGGGAAAGAAAATGATTTGTAGATTTTTGTGGTTTCGCCTTAAGTACTTAAGTATTTGTCTATCTGATTTTTTTTGCGTTGGCCTAAATATGTGCTTATGTTACTGTGTGTGTGTGTGTTTGTGTTTTTACATTTACAGACCTCATTACTCGCAGTTTATTGGAATGTAAAAAATGGTGATATTGTCAAGTCGTAGTCAAGGCTGTTTCTAGTGTTGTAGTTTAGAAGTTTTTTTGTTGTTGTAGTGTTGTTGGTGTTGTCTTATAGTTTTTGTTGTGTTGTTGTCTTGAGGTTGTCGTTGTGTTGTTGTTGTTGTTGCCGTGTTGTCTTGAGGTTGTTGTTGTGTCGTTATTGTGTTGTTGTTATTGCTGTTGTTGTTTTGTTGTATTTTTGTTTTTGTTGTGCTGTTGTTGTCATGAAATTGTTGTTTTGTTGTTGTTGAATTTTTTAGTCGTGTTTGAATGCTATTTTTGATGGCGTTGCATTGATAGTACTAGATTTTTTGTCGTTGTTGTCATGTTGTAGTGGTGCTGTTGGCAGGGTTTATGTTGTCGGTAGTGTTTGTGTTGTTGGCAGTGTTTGTGTTGTTTATTTTTTAAGTTTGCCCTGTTGACCTCCAATCGTGTTGTTGTACCGTCGTAGTGTTGAGGTGAAATGTTTTGGGTTCAAACGTGCAAATCATATTTTCTTCTTTTTTTTCTACTATTTTAAGCTGATTTTCATGTTTTTAAGATGAAAATGAGATATTTTTATAAAATTTAAACCAGGAAGCATGAAATTATTTTAGATTTTTTTAGACAAACATGTACTAATTATGTTTTATTTACTATGTATAAAGAGGTACCATTTCTATATCACCGAGAATATCAATATTTGTGTGTGTGCGCGTGTGTTTGTGCGTGCGTGCGTGTATGTTTGTGAATTATGATTAATTACTAAGCATAATGTTCTGCCCATAGAGAGCATTTTCAAATCGATAGACGCGTCAATGTTAATTGTTGTAGTTTTCCGTTAAATTAGCCGTGCCATCAACAAATTATTGCTGGTCTTGTTAGGAGTCACATAGATAGGGAAGAATGTTAACTTGGTAGCGAATTTGTTGCTATATTTGCACGTTTTTTCAAAATCTTGTTTGGGTCAGTTGGTTAGAAATTTTGAGAAAATGTTATGGATTTTTAATTAACATGAAGACAGTATATTAACAATGATATTGTTAAATTTTCCAAAATTTTAAAGTTTTCTTAACTTTTCTCGCACCTTATTCTTTCAGCACATTGGCGACCATCGACCTCCACAAAACCCGATCTTTAAAACTATGTAGTAGTTGAAATGTGGTGATATTCAACAAGTGACACAAGGACTTCACGAATGTTATTCGTTGTTGACCGCGATCTATTCTCGCTGCAATCTTTCCAATAGTTGTTAGATATTCCATTTCTTCCTTCCGCATGTTGTGACCAAAAAACTTTAACTGCCCCCGACGGATTATTTGTGATAATTTCTTCTTTTCATAACCGGACTGTTTTAATACATCCTCCTTCAAAGTTTGATAGGTCTAACTAATTTTTATAATTTTTTTTCAAAAACCACATCTCTGTATCGTTAATCTTTTTTTTTCCATTTTTTTTTTAAATTTTTCATGACTCAGAGCCATATGTTAGCACAGGAAATCTGTAACACTCTAACAGTTTTAATTTTGTTGATATTCTGATTTTACTGTTGGTGAGGAGGTTTTCATTTTAAAACCATAGCTACTCTTTTTTTAATTTCCACATCACATTTACAACTTGAGATAATCAGACTTCAAAGATACTCGAACCTGTTGACTTGTTTCAAATATTTACTATTAATTATTATGGAGCAGACCGGGGCGGTTTTGCTTTTACCGATGGCCATGCACTCTGTTTTGTTGATGTTAATTTGCAAGCCTTTCATTTCAAAGACCAGTTTGGAAACAATTGTTTACAGCTCTTCCATTGAATCTGCTGAGAAAGCAGTATCATCGGCATATCTTACTTTGTTATTATTCACGCCTTCAATGGATGTTCTAAGTAGATCTTCTATCTGTTTCATGATGATTTGTAGATTGTACACTGTACAGGTCAAGAGAGAATACACAGCCTTGCCTAACACCTTTCTTTGTTTCGACAAAACTAGTCAATCATCTTGTTACCAACTTCATCGCGGTTCCTTGTTCCAATAGAAGTGTTAAACCATTGAATTCTGAGAAGACAATTATATTATTATTATGGAAAAAACAAGCTAGAATTTAGAAGACAAGAGTATTGATTATGCAGAAAAACCAGGTTTCATTATTGGTTAGTCTAGAATTCAAGTGCAAATATGTTTCAATTTGTCATAAATATTTATTTAAAACTTAAGTTATTAAAAAATTGCAGCAAAATGTCAAAATTTTTGTCAAGGGTTTTAACAATATTCATCATGCATGTAGGGAAAAAAGAATTTATTTCACAGGGATTTAAAAATAACAACAATTGTCATAGGTGCATTTGCCTGGTATCTTGGATCTGTTGGCATTTAAACCATGCAACTCGGTGGCTGTTTTTCAGATCAGCAGCTAAAGTTTGCAATATAAGCTGAATTAGTTTCTCGAAAATAATTTTCATCTATACAAATGTTAAACCTAGAGAGTTTATTTTTACTTAGAAGAATGTAAAAGATTTTATTCCCTGGAGTTTTTTGATGAATTAGCGGTAGGTTCTTAATTACGAGGTGGATTGTGACGTGACATTTACCCTAGTGATGTGTTGTGTTAAACAAATTTGAGCATTTTTTGTCCTGATGGACAAAAAACTGAAACTGCCGCATTTTAAAATAATAAATCGAAATACAGAATCGAAATTTGAAAACCAGGTTCGTCCAGGCTCTTGAAGTTTGCTGTCAAGTATCATCTCTAATTTTGTGTAATTTTTTAATGAAAAAATAAATTTATGGAACAACAAAATTTATTTTTTACTACAAAAAATAATCGCTGGCTAAATATTTCTATTTGTTAAAATTCAAAAGTACATAGACTTAAGCTCAGATCATTTACAGTCTAAGGACTGGGTTGAATTATTAAATAACAATGAGCACTTTGACTTATGTTCTATAAACATATTCGTCTAATTTTTAAAAACATTTTCAAGTTCGCAACAAATAAATTACAAAATTTTTTAAGTTTTTTTCATTTGGTTTTTTGAAATTTTAAAACATTCCAGTTTCTATATTACTATAAATTTTTTTCAAACAGTTTTCTCAAAGTCATGTTAATGCAAATTCATATTCCATGTTCGACATTAAAATTTGTTTATCGCAAATTCAAAGTTTTTTTTAGCTCAGCAATAAAGTTTAATTTGTTTTTTTCTTCTTCTTCAAGAAATTCCACGCCCAAGTACACATTAGAATGCAGGAGATGCCCTAACAAGATGCATGTCCGATGAATTGATTGTGTTTCTTTTTTCTGCAAACTCCGTAGAAATTTTTTGTCTTTGCTTTTTGTTTCAATATTGCCGTACGACTCTTACTTATAATTCAAATGTGCAAATTTTGAGAGAAAAAAAACATTCCTTGCAAAAAAATTCATAAAAAAATAAATTTATTCTTTTTTTTGAATATTAATTTTTTATTTTTAAGAAATTAACTGAATAAACCTCATTAATTTATACCGGTTGAGATATGTTGAAGTAATGAATTGTTTTAAAACCGTCAGTATGTGTCAAGAACATCAATAAAAACAAATAATAAATAAATTAATTTGATCACACAATTTCGGTCTGGCATACATTGCATGTATCGATCTAATTTTTTTTTCTTTAACTGATAACAATTTGTGAAACGTGTGTTGTTTCGTTATGAAGGTCGAAGAATCTAAATTTCTTTTGGTGTTGTTTTTTTTTTTATTTTGAATAAATTTGTTTCTACGTTGGTCAAATTTGAATTTCTGCAATGTTATACATCCGTCATACTATTGTATTAATTAATAAAATTATTAAACATTTACTACATTTCAAATGAAATTATTAAAGTTTTAGTTCGTATTACTCAAAAGAGTATTCGGTTTTCTGTTTATATAAAATAAAAACCTGTTACAGAGCAGTGATACGGTGGCCTGCCGAGAGAGTTGTGAGTTCATGAGGGTGGTGAAAGGGATCAAATCGGGGAGGTGTCCGCCCGAAACTCTGGTCAGTGGGGAAGCTGCCACCTGCGTGAAGGCATGTACCAACGATGCCAACTGTTCCGACATACACAAGTGTTGTTCCAACGGATGTGGGTGGACCTGCCAGCAACCTACGCATATATACGATGGTTAGTTGCTTGGTTGTTTAGTTGGTTGGCTGGCTGGTTGGCTTGTTGGTTGGTTGATTAGTTGTTTGGTTGATTGGCTGGTTGGTTAATTGGTTGGTTGATTAGTTGTTTGGTTGGTTGGTTGACAGGTTTGTTAGTTAGCTGGTTGGATGGTTAATTTGTTTGTTAGTTGTGGTTTTTTGTGTGTGTAGTGGTGGTGATAGCGATAATGGTGATGATGGCGGTGGTGATGATGGGGGAGTTGTTGGTGAACTGCTGATAATTACGATAACATGCATGTGGGTGAAAGACGAGATATGTGTATATGTTAAGGAATGATAACGATTTCATCACAATATTTGTGTACAAAAAAGAAGGGAAAGCAAAAGTGATGAATTTTGATTACAGAAAGGAATAATTATTTGATGGCTTGATGAGTCAAAGTGCGAATGTTTGCGACGCTACGAAACGATAGTGCTGCAAATGAAAGTTGGAAAGTAAAATTTTTAAAACGTGGTGATAAAAACTGATGAAGATGATGATGATGATGATTATGATGATGATGAAAAAGAAGAAAAAGATGATGATGATGATGATGACGATGATGAAAAAGAAGAAGAGGATGATGATGTTGATGATGAAGAAAAAGAAAAAAAAGATGATGATGATGAAGAAGGTGAGTAGGAGAAGAGAAAGATATTGATGATGAAGAAGATGAAGAAGATGATAGTGATGATGCTGAAGTTAGTAATTAAATGAAGGCGATGGTGATGATTGTAGTTGATAAGAGTGAGGATGATAACGATGTTAGTGAGATGATGATGATGATGATGGCAATAAATAGCAAAGTGAAGATGATGAAAAGAGTAAAGATGATGACGAGAATGAAAAGGAAGAAAGGAGTGAAGATGGTGAGGAGAGTGAGGATGATAAGATGAGTGAAGATGATGAACAAAGTAAAGATGATAAGATGAGTGAAGATGATGACGAGAATGAAAATGATGACAGGAATGAAAATGATGACAAGAGTGAAAATGATGACAAGAGTGAAGATGATGAGAAAAGTGAGGGTGATGAGAAGAGTGAAGATGATGAGAAGAGTGAAGATGATGAGAAGAGTGAAGATGATGACAGGAGTGAAGATGATGAGAAGAGTGAAGATGATGACAGGAGTGAAGATGATGAGAAGAGTGAAGATGATGAAGAGAATAAAGATGATGACAAGAGTGAAGGTGATGAGGAGGATGAGTGCAAATGATGACATTGATAGCGTAGCATGATGAAATCGCTAAACTGAATTTTGTTTTCATTCATTCGTCAATTTGTCGTGCCATCGTAAAATGAAAATCTTGTAACTTCCACGCGTGTGTATGTGTGGGTGTGTATGTGTATGCCTGCGTGTGTTTATGTGAGTTTGTGTAGCCATGTATGTGTGTGTATGTGTAACTAAGTATGTTTGCGTGTTTAGAAGCTATTTATGTGTATGTGAGTGTGTATGTGTGTGTGTGAATGTGTGTGAGCTATGTATGTGCGTTTTTATGTAATATGTATATATATATTTCTGTGTGTGCATTGTGTGAATAAATTTGTATATGATTGTTGTGTGTGTGTGTCTGTGTGCGTGTGTGTATGTGTGAGTTATGCACGTGAATGTGTATCTACGTTTAAGACTGGGTGAGTCATGTTTCGCGGTGCATTCTCCTCTATTCCATTGCCGACGTGAAATTAAATTTCTTGCAGACTTTCACAGAAAACTTTGCTGCCCCTGCCTGCTCGCCTGCATGATGATGTTTTCGAAACTGCAGTCGTTTCGTTTCGTTTTTTTCATTCTTCTTCCTTTTTTTAATCCGAGATTGAATGTGGCAAAAACACTCTGAAATCTGTTTCTATTTTATTATTGTTATCAATAGAAACATACGTAAAAGAATAAAATGTGAAAATAAAAATTTCATTATTTTTTTTTAAAAACTGAACAATTTTTTGTTTTTGCAATAATTTAAGCAATACCAAGTAGATGTTATTAATTTGATTGTAATTGAAAATCTGTGAAACTCATTTCAATGGCGGTCGGCTTCATTGAAAATTAAACTTATTGCAGACCGAATAGCATGGTTAATGAAGTTTGTAGTAAAACATTACAGACATGTATCCAAGAATGTGAAATAAGCCTCTGTTTTTTGGTATATAAGGAATGATTTTTTTTCCCCGCTGATGCATTCTCTAACAAGCATCTACTCATATTCTTCATGTTTTCACGTTTGAGTTTTTAAATTTCAACGCTAATCTTTCTTGCAAATTTTTTTGCATTTAAAATTATTTTTTTTAATTTACATGAAGAGAAAAATATCCATTATTATTAAAAATTTTTTTTAGATTAAAAGCCTCCAAATTTAATACATCATTTTTGTAATAAAATTTCAATCTGCGGGCGTCTGAGAGACATTGAAGGATGTGTTTGCGTGTTGTTCGAAGCGTTAACAACTGCGCAAAAACTAAATACAAGTATGAAGGATGATAAATGTCCAACATAATACGTCATAAATTTCAACGCTGGATCACCGTTACACATCATTAAATGTGTTGAAAGTGATCTTGTGTTAGTGTGCGTGTGTACGCGTGTGTGTGCATGTGTTCGTGTGTGCGCGCGTCTGTGTGTGTGAGTATGTCTGTCTGTGCAGCGAGTTTCAGTGTTTAAAGTGCATGTCTGTGTGAATGTGTATCAACATCTGTGCGTGAATATGTGTGTGTGTGTGTGTGTGTGTGTGTAATTCATGCTTTTATGTGCGTATTAAATCTGTATTTTGTTGTGCACAAAGTTCTATGATGCATGTAGATATGAAACTGTTACATAGATGTTAAATCAGTTTTTCAAAAAATTCCGATAAAAAATTCTCAACAACTAAGGACTTAATTAACCATATTCATATAAAAATATTTAACGTTCATAATTTCAACGTCATATTGATTTAATTCAACTTGATTGTGTTCAACATTATTTATTAATAGTTGGGCTATATAAACCATTAAAGCAGAAAGTTGTGCAAGATCTTTACAAACATTGCGTCACACTGGAAAAATAATGACGTCACGATGAGGTAGTTAATTGCTCAAACTGTCTCTGCGAACTTTATTATTAACTGTATGTATGTAGTCCAAGAGCGGATGTCTTGTTTCAACCAACTTCATATGAAGTCAAAATTGTAACTGTTGCAACGTAAGGTTTGTTTTCCAGTAGTGATTGCTGTCTGTCTAGTTAAGTTGTTGCACTCGAATTAGAAGTTAAAGAGCTGAAACAACCTGGCAGGACGGTCTTGAAGATGTCCCTGGGTCAATAATGTGTTATGAGCATCAGTTTTTGTGTGTGTACAATTTTATGAGTTTTTTTAATAAAAGTAAACTTTATTAGAAATTGAACTGTTTGAAAATGTAATTGTAGAAATGAAGAAATCATATTGCAAATAAAACAATATCAGCAATCATGTCACTTTAAATTAAAAAATGAACATCGAAATAAAACTTTTCTAGCTGCTAAAAACGAAGCTTGGTGAACATTTTCAATAATGCGTACAATCCTTGCGGGAGTCAGCTACTGAATGATATTCCATTGAATCGAATTGAACTTTATGAGACCAACTTTCTCATTATCATTGGGTGAATGTGTAGCGAAAATTTTATAAATCATACAAAATGGACAATAAAATTCATTGTTGATGTCACGTGGTCAGGTCAAGAGGTCAAATTAAAGAGACTTTCCTGGAATAAATGAACAATGGTGAACGAGTATCTCAAACGAACACGGTCCGTTGTTGGCCCACTGGAAGGTTATTATGGTGGGACTGGAATAACGTTGTCTCGCAGAACTAACACCATATGGCGGGTGTAACGTCATATTGTGATGCTATCACGACATGCCATGGTAGCAGGCCGTATCATTATGTGGCGCTTGTAACGAATTGAATTGCACTCGTCCAGTTTTATGTGTTTGTAGTGAGTGTCCAGTCCATCTCTTGTTGGATGTTACTTCGCTGTTCTGAGAATGAACTGCTGATGACGTGTTACCTCCTTACAAACCACACAAATAATAAACATGATAAATTTTTATTTTTCTATGTTCAAATTTTCATGTATATGAAAATATTTCAATTAATAAATTTGTTCGTTGCATAAAAGCAGTGTAGAATAATGCAAAAAAGTTCAGCAAAGAAAAAGAAACACGTTGATTACAATCGGAAGTTTTGATTAAAACGTAAAACAAATTAATATAACCAAACATATCTGATTAACCTCTTAAAAGATATTTGTTCTCATCAAAAAACATTTCTGCAAATTAACCTCCAATGCAATGTATTTGAAATGTTGCCGTGGGGTAAGAAACGACAGCCAACACGACGCGGACTCATTCCAGGGTCTGGAAGTTATTTCCACATGAAGCTCGGAGTGCAAAAAATCTAACCGAACATTGCGCCTCTACAATTATATGGACACGTTTTAAATTAAGAAAAACTCCAATATACTTCAAAAGTGTTATCACAAAGCGTAAAGGCAAGTTAATTAATTACATTAAAAACATTTTTGAGTATTTTATGATTTTTTTAGGGCAATCACCTGTTCTTCCGGCATCAAACAACAATGCAAAAGTCGTTTTTATTGAAAAGATTTATAAATATATCCGTTCAATTGAATCCTAAAGTTGAACTAAAAATGAATACAAATTGAATTCGATTTCTGTAGTATAATGTAAAAAAATATGAATTGTGCATGTGTGTACGTCCGTATTGTACGTGTGTGTGTGAGCGTGTGTGTGTGTATAGGTTCGTGTTTTTACGTGCGGGTATGTGTGTGCGTGTGTGTGTGTGTGTGTGTGTGCGTAGGTGTGTGTTAAGACTGAAATAATAATGAATAAAAACCATAAATCTTGTAAAAACTTCACTCAAAGGAAGATTTTTGTTTTTTATACATAAATCCTATGTATGAACAAAAAAAAATTATTTAAAAATAATATAATTAAATAAATTAACAAACATATAATTATATATATTAATAAATGAATGAATTAATTTATTTATTTATCTATTTATGTAAACATACAATTTCGACTTGAAAGTTCATATCAAACATTCGACTCTCTTCTAGAGCAATAAAAACAAATAGTAGTCGCATCACTCACACATTCATTAGCCGACAGTCGACATGTGTTTTTGTTTAGCTGATAGCAAGCACACGCCGAACTGTCATTTCACATCAACTCAGCCATGCATCTAAATCTAGACTGGGGCTTCGAAAGAGGTGTGCATGTTAACGTGTTAGGTGCTGTCTGCTCCTCATTAATGCACTCATTCGTCTTACGTTTCTTACTTGCAGTTTTCAAAGTTTCACTACCTTTTTGCTTGTTTTTTTTTCCACACATTTTTGTGTTTTAAAAAATTTTTTGTTTCTTAAAATGTATGCATGAAAGGTGCTAGAAATTTTATGAGATGTTTTCCGATGGTGACAATGAAAAGAATAAGGATAATGAAACATCGAATGTCAGAATTGTGATGAAGGTTATGGAAAAAAATGTGATAAAAATGAGTATAGCTAATGATGGGAAAAAATAAGTTCAATGAAGATATTTGAAATAATGATAAACCTTTTCTCATACAACATCTAGGCTTTCCAGACATTCCAAACCGTCCAGAAATAAAAGAACGTATCAAAGCATCTACATCATCTTCGTCGTCTTCATCTTTACAATCTTCTTCAGCAGCTTCATCGATTGAACTGAAATGGAACAATGTGATGAACGCCAACAGTTTGGACCTCGTACTCTACCTGGTTGAGAGCAGGTTCAACGTCGGCCAGCAGTTCGATGAGGCACAACTCACAAATTGGACCCAAGTTGCCCAGGTGAATTTTTTGATATTTTTTTCAGTTTTACTTTAAAAAATAAAATTTTTAAATAAAAATATTTCAAATTTTCAAGCAGAGATGATTATCTTTGGCTTATTGTTTAAAATATATGTCATATCATGTGTCATAATAAATTTATAAAACAAAACAAACACTTAAATATTGAAAAAAAATGGTTTGTAAAAATAATGCAAAAATTTAAGCAAACAATTAAAAATACAGTCGGACCTCTGTACAACAAACATAAAACAGGTAATATGTGAAGTTCCAAGACACATACAAAAAATTCGTTATGTAGAGATTTTTATTATCTAGAAAAAATTAATTATAAGGGGGTCTAACTTTATTACAAACCAATAATAAACCCCACTACTACCTTTTAATGACCACAAAACACCAACAACAACCACGCAAAAGACGACGGGCACTTCGACGACCCTGGACGCAAAAGCGGGCCACTGGTACCAATACCGGGTGACAGCTGTGAACATGTACGGCAGTAGGGGAGGGTCTGAACCATCGCAAGCATTCGCCCTTTCCAGAGGTGATTTAACTTTCCCTAATATTTGGACATGATTTTATACAAAAAAAAATCTGTGTATTTGAATTGCTAAAATGTGAATGAAATTGTTTTATATGAACTAATTGAAAAATTTATAATTAGAAATTCTTTTATCAATCTTTTTTTGCTTTCAATTGTATAATGAAAATTTCAAAATTAATCAATTCTTGTCTTTAAAACTATTCATTAAAATTGTAATTAAATTTAATAATTATTAATTTTTTCAGAACCCCGTCGACCCAGCCCACCGCAGAACCTCACCGAGGGTGACACCTTCATAACGGGAGGCAGGGTGGAAGTCTCCATTCATTGGTCACCGCCGAAAAAATCCGACCTCCCAATAAGCAGATACAAGGTCTGTTCTTTGTGCTGTTGTAAACATTAAATTTAAAGTTAATTATAGGCAACGAACTTTTAATGTTTTTACATTATATTCGTTGGATCAAATCAAATCAACAAAATATGGAATATAGAATTGTTGAAACGGACATGTGAACAAATAATGAGAAAGAGAGAGAGAGAGAGTCATGTGATAGGCTACCATTGTCAGTAATTGAAATAAAAATGATGATTTGTTGTTGTGAGTAGATAAAAAAAACTCTCTTAATATGATTTTAAAATATTAAAAGCATGAAAAAATATGTACATGATCAATACAAAGCTGCACATTAACGTAAGAAAACTTCATCAACGCAATGACAACCAAGAAGGAGTCATTTATCAAGCAGCCCGGAATCGTTAAAACGTAGTCCATTGAAAAAAAAATCTTTTTAAACATTTTTCAATTCAATACTTTGACTAAAAATCCAAAAGTTTCAAACAATGCAGAGCGATCACAATTTAATACTAAAACAGCATGTTATTAGAGTGAGAATGGCAATAACATTCCACCAACAGAGGCAACAACAACCACCACCAACCACGAATGAGCGTAATTTCAGATTTGGAGCCCTTCTTGCTGGCCGTAAAATAGTGATTAATCTTTAATTTTCACGCCTACCGCTCGCTGCCCCAGCTTTACGACAACATCACATACTACATGGCTTTTCAAAGGCCTGCAACTTTTTTTACTCTTATAATTTTTATTTAAAAAAAAAAAGCTAAACCATTTGTTTGATTTTTGTTTTGTTTACTGTTTGATTTCGTTGGTTAAACCGATTATAAGCATGTGTCGAGTAATTCAAAATTGCAATTCGTTAAAACTTCCATGTCAAATTTTGCGTATAAAAAGGAATTAGAAACTCCGAAAGAAATAAAATGGAAATACATTGCGGAAAATGTGTGAGTCGTCATTAAATCATTATGCAGAACCGGTCGTGCTGCTACCCTCAACGCGACTCACAGTCATAAAGTGGGAAAATAAAGAGAGTACTCTTTGAGCTCTTTGTCTGTCTGTGTTCTGGTCTGGCTGACTGTCTGTCTGTGTTTCTGTCTGTGTGTGTTTTTGTTTGTGTGACTGTCTGAAACCGTTTATGGTTTCGATTATGTCGTCTACTTGTTTATTGGAGATTCAGGCATGCATGACTGGGCTGCATGATGGTGTTGACAAGTATGTGCATTGGAAAATATAAACGGGTAAATGGATGGAAGGATGTTTGGATGGATTGATGAATGGATGTTTGGATGGATAAATGGATGGATGGAAAGTTGAAGAACGGATGGTTGGATGGATAAATGGATAGTATAAATTCAGGTAAATACATAGATGAATGAATAGATAAAGTAACAGCAAGACGGAATGTTTTAAAAATTAAAATAAAAGATAGCAGATTTGACTTTTTTAAAATAAAATTATTAATAAAAGTCGTTAATGTACTTCAGTCAAAAAGTTATAACAACTTAGCAGCAAGTACGGGGAAACGAAGTTAAATCAGAAAAAATTATTCACTTTTTTTATCATCACCATACCGGCAGTCTGGTTTTGCTGATCGGATGAAAATTAAGATAAATAAAACTAATTCATTTTTTCAGAATAAATTCTTTCAAGCAAATACAGAAAATAAAAAAATTTTGTAATAATAATTGATAGCGAATAGGAACTTTTGACAATCATTTGGTGATAATATTGAAAAATGAGACTTGCTAAGACTTGATATTGATAGATGTTGCATTTTAATGCTAAGCTCTTTATTCCCATGCCATTGAAGCAAACGCTTCAAAGGAAGTTTCGGGTCCATTTAAACTGGACGCGCCTATATTTTTTTATTTTAGTTTCATTCATAACATGAAAGTTTATTGGCTTCTTAATTCATAAGCATAATTTGTGTTTTTGTTTGAAAAATGAACAATCTAATAAGACTCATTATAAAATAATTATGATTATTCAAATAATAACTTTTTGGTTTTTTTTCTATTCATCGTTTTTGTTTTTATAATTTGTTATTAATTGTTAAAAACCCTCCAGAAACAAGTTGAATTGACTGATTTAATGTGATCATTAATTTGTTATTTGTGTGTTAATATTAGATTCCAATTAATTATATTGATACTTATTCTTGCAATAGGCCATTTTTTGATGTAACTCTCATGCGCATTACCATCAAACACGCATCCACATTCTACATGGCGTCAACCCGTGAAAATGTGCTCCACAAACACATTTCTTGCACGTCATGCCACATGCAAGGATCATTTTCTCATTCGAACAAACTCAAGACTACAGTCATCTTATTAACGAAACACCTACAAACAAATGCACTTTCTGCAAATGATTACTGACTAATAAATAATCCATTCGACGCAGATATTTTGGGCGAACAGACCAAAAAAACTAACCCCCCCCTCCCCGTCATCTTCCCCGTCGTCACTCCCCACGAACCATCGCGAGCACAGAAAGGTGGTGCCAGGTGACCAACTCTTCTTCCAAATACCCAATCTCTTACCAGATACAACGTACTTCGTCCAGGTCAGTTTCTATGGCAGAATGTTCTCATTTCTCTATTCAATTTATCGATCAATTTAAATGGATTTTAATTAATATTTGTGTTGTACATTTTGCAGTTTTTTAAAGGATACTTTAATGAACTCTATATCGATGTATTTATTCTAAAGTGATTATCAAAATACTGTCGGAACTCCGTATAACGAATTTTATGTTTCCAGGTAACAAATTCGTTATGTAGAAATTTTGTTTTTATAGAATTTGTTCCGGACTGTACTAAATTAGCTGATTTAAACAAAAATTTTGTCAGCTCAGTCTGTAGAAGTTTCAGGTCTCGTGCCGTAATTACGCGACGGCATGGTTCGAATACTGTCTGTCAAAAACTCAAGAAACACCACACGCGTATGATGCGGTGCTTGTGCGTGCATATATGTGCAAGTGAGTCGTGTGGTATGAAAAGTAAACTGCTTAATTACAACTAGAGAATAACAAGCGTGCAGGTCTGCGTTTGACAAAGCTGCATTATATATAAAAGACAAACAATCTCATTTGCTGTGAATCATTTGCTCTTTCAATCTGCAGTTTGTTTGTTTGACTATGTTTATTTTCATACAGTGATGTATTCAAGAAAAAATACAAAATGCTATCCGATGATTAAAATTGCACGATTAAGAAACTCAATGAAACTAACCACACTAAAGAAAAGTTGTTTATTTTGTTTTGTTTGATTTAATCACATTAATTTTAATTAAAACTAATGGATGAACGAGTTAATTTTACAAAACATTAATTGAATATAATAGAAAAATAAAAAAATCAGTAAGACTGGGCGATAAAAAATTACGTTATTCAAAACAACAATTTAACTAGATCTACAAAATTGAACCGGTATAAAAATAATTGACAAAATTTAATTTCCTCGCCGAATGTCGGCGTTGAGTTATTGTGATAAATGCTTTGAAGAGAAGCACCTGTCCTGGCGTCTCTGTGGGATCGCAACACATCACAAACAATGCAAGGAGAAGTAAAAACGTCACCGAGAAACCCAACACAATGAAACGCATTAAAATAGCGCGGCGTAAGAGAAGCACGCACACGGGCAACAACAAGATCTCCCGTCTCAACAAAACGCAACAATGCAACTTCACGTGACACAACAACGGATCAGAAAATGACAAAAAAAAAACTCAAAAACAACTCAGCAACGACGCGAAGACTAAGAGTAGAAAATACATTTGTAAGCACTCAAACGTTTTAATCTTATTTGAAATATGAATCCAGTGCATTTGTATTTTGAATTTCCCATACGTCATAATCCAATTTTAAATTTTTCTCACAGGAAATATGAATCTTGCGTAGTTTGTTTGTGACATTGAATTATTTATTTCATTTCAATTATAATTTTTTTTTATCAATTAAACCAATTTTCAAGTAAAATTTTAATTTATTTAATTTGTAAGTATATTTGGGCCAAGACCAAACTCAGCGGTAATAAGTTGATACTTTGGCTTTGAAATAGTTTCACTGTTTAATCTAATTTCTTGATCTTTTTTTAACCTTTAATTGAAAATTTACTCAATTAATCATTCCACAATTAATTTATTAAAAATTGAGTTCGTATCGATTTGAAATGTGCTTTACACTTTTAAAACACTGAATGAATTAAAACATAAACACGTATGTCATCCGTCTTTGAAGAGTTTTAAAAGTTGTCACACCACGAAATAGCTTTTTCTCATCTAGTGCTCCTGCAAGCAATGTTCTTCAGACTATAGATTTTTTGCTTCATTTATTGAATGGTTTTGATCAAATGGTCACTAATTGTGAATCATTAAAATTATTTATAACTTTATTTGTATAATTTATGTATTGTTTAGCAGCATATTAATAAAAATTATGAACAAAATAAATATTACCTCAATATCTAAATTAAAAAAAAAACTGTCTAGATATTATTCCAGAGAAAAAAATCAGTAAAAAAATCGTTAAACATCATCACATTGCCTGGTGGTTGATGTGGAGTTGGAGATATTTTCAAATATGTTGAATTAGCAAGAATCCCGATCGCCTATGTTTGCCATCTTTTTGATCATTCTAACCTAACACTTATATAACTATACGAAATGATCAAGC